GAAGCGTTTGCCTGAGATTGCTGTTACAGCCGGGCCAGGTGCTGCAGGAGGAGGAGGATGCCCGCAGGATGCTCGGCTCTCAGGGTGCAGTGCTCCCTCCTCACCGAGCAGCGTCAGCCCAGCACCACTGGAGCCATCCCTGCTCGCTGCAGCTCCCCCGGAATCCCAGCCTGGTGCCAAGGATGGCCCTGAGCAGCAGCAGAGGCTCCAGCTCGCTTTTGAAGAACCGGAGGTTCAGCCTGGCAAAGTTCGAATGCCAGGAGTTTTTCTAAGTCAGTAAAACCCAGAGCAGAAGCAAAGCTGAGCTGAGGTCACAGCTGGCAGCCAGGCACAAAGTCAGAGCCATGCCCAGGTTTCTGTCTGTTACTTTATTAGAGAAGTATTTATTCTTTATTTTTTACATCGTGGTGCAGATATTTTACAAAATATTAAAAAAACCCCTTTTTATTCGAAGACACATTTTTAAAAAATCTTGCCCCATCCCCCCCTGAAAAGCAAGCTGGGTTTAACTGAACAGGGAACAACAAAAAACCCTCTTTTGAAAGGAGGGGAAATGATAACCATGCTGTAAACATGACAGTCAGATGATGTGCCCCCATTCTAGGTGAGGGACACGGTACTGGAGCCTGGCACACCCAGGGAGAGAACACAAACTACAAAAATGGGGTGGCAGAGCCATTCCTGCCTCTGTGATGCTCTGTCCAAGCTGAAAATCAGCTGGACTGGATGAAGGAATAACTGATTTAGCACGGGGGCATTGCAGCAGCTTGGAGAGCCCCCAGAAATATTCTTTCCTCATGGCTGCAGGGTGCCCAGAGCAGGGTGATGCTCCCTGGGCTGGTGGAGAAGGCACCAGCTTCAGCTGAGGGAGGTGACAGTGTGCTCAGGACAGCTTCTGCAGGGCCCCTGAGCCCTGGCACCCAACCCTGGCACCCAGCAGCTCCAGCAGGACCAGAACCAGAGCCCCTGGGGCTGCTGGAACATTCCTAAGGGGGTCAGGAGTCTCCTTGTCCCATTCAGGAAGATCCCTTTGCAGTCACTGACCCTACATCAGCTCCCAGCCTGGTGTTGTCACATCTGGAAGGTGCCACCCACGCTTTGGAGGTGGGGCAGGGACCCTTCCTGTGTTCATTAACAGAGACATCACTGCTGTGAAATCAGGGGCAACCCGGAATGGCCCAAAGAGACAGAGCCTTGCTAGCCTGCAGGAAGTTTATAAATATGCATTAAGAGCTCTAAAAGGGTAGGAAATGCACTCCCCACATCCAGAATTAAAGACCTGGGGGCTGCCTCCTTCAGCCCAGTACCTAGAAGTGAGGCACATCACATACCACCTTTCCCTGAAATGCCAGTAAATCAACAAAAGGGGACTTGGAAATAACAACTTTTTTCTTGTATTTTTTTTTAAAGCAGGAGTATTTTTTTCTTGCTAGAGAAACAGGTCTAAAACAAACAACGTTGTCCAGAAAAAAAACAAACCAAAACAACTTAAGTGCTGCCTTACACCTTTGGGCTGTGTAAAGAAGGTGCTGCCAGTGAGGTCCCTGACCCCTCCCCAGCTCTGTGCTCCCAGTCCCACCCAGCAGCTCAGCCAAGCCCTGCCTTCTGCAGGAGGAGGGGACAGAAAGGACAGAGAACCTGCTCTGCCACTCTGCCACGACTCCCAGCCAGGAAAACCATCCAAAAAGCTGTGTAACATCACAAGGAGATGAGCCATCAGTGGACGAGGAGATGCTGGGAGCAACGAGCCCCGTTTGCATCTGCTCTTCCCTTGCTCCACTGCTCCTTTGCTCCTCCCAAACGATGCTCTGCAGCCATAACCCGCTGCCAGGCTGGCTGACCCACATGGCCCCACACAGCAAAGAGCTAAAAACCAGCCTCAAGCACCTGTGTGATCATGAGAGCTCTGGCAGTGACACCCTTCAGCCCCACTCACCCCAAAGTGGCAGTGGCAGATGCTCCATCGCAGCACTGAGCGCTGTCCCCAAGCTGCCACCTCCACTCCCTCAGAAGCAGAGCCTGCAGCCAGCTGGGCAGTGCAATCAGCCCAGAACCTCTGATAACAGAGCCACAGCTCAGTGCCAGAGGGGCTGCGTGCCCCTGCTCGCAGCAAAGGAAGAGCAGAAGCATCTTTGGGAGGACATCCAGCCCCTTTCGGCATGGTCTGTGTGGGGAGCAGGAGGAAAGACAAAACCCAGCCCTCCTTGGGCAAAAAAACCCTCAAATCTCTGTCTCTCTGCAGCAATAAAAGGGCCACAGTGCAGAGGAGTAAGTTTAAGGCCAAGGTGAAATTTAAGACAATGCCAGAGCTGCTCTGCCCAGGCCAGGCCTTGCAAAGGACTGGGACAGGAGCAGCCACGGTGGAGAGGGAGGTGACAGCCCTGCCCTGAGGGGCTGCTTCTCCTGATCAGAGCGGCCACTGCTCCAGTCTGAGCTGACAAACCCAGTGAGCATCCAGCCAACAGTGCCAGTGCAATCCAGAGAGGGTCCTGCCCCAATTCCCAGCCTGGAGCTCCTGGGAAAGCCAGCCCAAGTTGCAGCCAGCATCCCTCAGCGCAGAGGCCACGGGGACGGGCGGGTGCTGGGGTGAGAAGGGGCTGCCGAGAGGCTCTTCCCAGTCCGAGTTGTCCCCAAGCTGCAGCCCAGGAGGACACGGCCAGTACCAGCTGGTGGCCTGCCAGGTGTTACAAGCTCTCTGAGGAGCTGAAGGGGACGAACTTGGCGTGTTTGGTCGGGGACACCGGCACCTGTCCATCGGGCTCCTCGCTCAGCTTGAAGAACATCTCCTGCTCACGCTTCTTCTGGTTCAGCTCGTCCTCCAGGGCCTTGGGCAAAGAGAACAACACGAGAGCTGTGTTTGAGATGGCTCTGGAGCTATGGGCACTGTCCCCTCTGGCCAGCCAGCCAGGACACCCTGCTCACAGCCAGGAGGCCTCACCTTCTTCCGTGGTCTCAGCTTGTCCCGCCACTCCTTCATGTGCTGGTTGTGGCTCTCATCCAGGGACTTCAGCTTCTGGGTTTCGTGCTCGATCAGGAGGTGACACTTCTCATTCTGAAAACGCATCACCAAACACAACAACACCCATCAAGCAGCTGGAACTGTGCACCCAGTGGTCAAATGTTGGATTAAGCTCTTTTCTGATTTAGAGATGGGGTAACTGAGAGGTGTTTTAAAAACTTTTATTCTATTTTCAGTCTCATGTGAATGGTGAGACAATACAGATGTTATTATTTACGCTATTACAATCCAAAGCTAATTATTTCTTAATTATAATACATTATAAGTGTTTCTCAGCTTTAGCTACATCTATTTCTTACAGGCAAACAGGATTTGTCTTGGGCAGAGACATTCAGAGCCCTGAGCTCCACGTTTAGACAACAGCAACAAAAACCTCTCTAGGCAAGAGCAAGGGGACATCAGCCCCTGACAATCCTCTGCAGCCACTTCTCCAGAGGCTGAGAGCTGCACAGGCAGCTCTGGGAGACCAAGCCGTGAGGGATGAGTACCTGGAGATGCTGGAGCTCGCTGGTGTTGCTCTCACACTGGGCCTGCATGTCCTTCATCTGTGTCTCGTGCTTCTGCTGCTGGTGCAGCCGCTCTGCTTTCTGCCTCTTCTCCTCCTGCAGAGCAAACTGGCAGAGAGAAAAGCAATGTGTGGGCAGCATCGCCCTGGCCTCTGGGGCTGCCCGAGAGACCAGCCCAGCTTCCATTGTGGCAGAGCAAAGAAGGAATTTGTATTGCTCCCCTGTCGCTATAGGACACGTGAAAGCACGACGTGAGCCACCTGCTATTTGCAAGGTAAAGAAGGAAGTTTATTCTCTGAATCCAACTTTTATACTTTCCCAAAGGTGACATTGGATTGGAGAGTGAATGGGCCACCTCTCCAAAGACATTGGACAAACCACTAGTACATCAAGTTTCTCCACCCCCATAAAAGAATGTAAACAATATGTCGTTCATAGAAATTGTGTGGGAAAGTTCTCCAACAGAATGTAAACTCAGGAGGCTTTAGAAAATCTTAAGAATCAGGGTGACACCCCCCAATACAAGTCACGATGGAGACTGAAAACCACACGACAACAGAGCCCTCTAACCCAGCAGAAAGTTAAAATCAGGAGACAGGAATTTGGGAAAACGCAGCTTTCTCCCCGCCCCACGCCAAACCTCAGCTCCTGGTGCCTTTCCAGGCCCTGACCTGTTTGATCTTCTCCCTCTGCTCGGAGGCGCTGCCGCTGGAGTGGATGTGGAGGCTCTTCTTGTACATGGCCATGCGCGTCTTGCCCTCGCTGCGCTGGATTTTGGGCAGCCGGGCCCTCTCCTGCTGCTGCCGCACCTTCAGCTGCTCCAGCATGCGCTGGTTGTAGCGCTGCATCTGCTCCCTCTCCTGCAGGACACAGGGGTCAGAGGGGAGGGACGCCTCCCCAGAGCCCCCAGAACAGCAGGGACAGCTGGAGGGCAGCTCTGGTGGCCAGCACATCCCTCGGGCTGCCCTGGCTGGCTCCAGAGCCCGGCACGGACTCACAAACACCTGCAGCTTCCATTTTAGCTCGTGGGAAAAGCTTCCAATTTTGTATGAGGAATTATGAGCCACAAGGGTTTGAGTAGTGTGGTAGTTGAATTAACACAGGGTGGAAAAGTAGAATTTTGGGGTTCTTAGAATGGGGTTCAAGGGGTCAAGATGGAGGGTTTTGGGCGTGTCCTGGCCTTCTTCTCCTTCTCCTTGCCCTCCATGTCTTGGTGTGATGGTGACACTTTTCTGTTGGTGTAAGGCACAGACACACTCTCTAACATAGATGATGGGTATTGGCACGTTATTGTAAACATATCACAGGTAGTTTTTGATATAAAATGCAAACACTGCCCTGAGGGCAGACAGAAGCCATGGCCGAGCTGCTGGACAGAGCTCAGCAGGGCAGAGAAAGAATGTTCTAGATAAGGGAAAATAAACAACCTCGAGAAGCTGACCCTATGCACTTCAGACTCCTTCTTTGGCTGCACGGGCTGGGAAATGAGGACTTTTACACTCTTGGGGTCATCCCAACACACAGATCCCGAGACTTTGGGAGTAGCCTGGAAGTGGCTGGTGACACTCCAAAGGGAAAAGAGGGGATGGCAAGGACTGAACATGCTGGGAAAGCAGAGGAGAGGGGATTGGAAGTGCCAGTCTTCACTCCCTGCTCTGGGAATCAACCATGCCAAATCCTGGGCAGTGGCAGATTTGCATAAAAGCCCCCCAGAATTCCCAACTTTTTGCACATTAAAATCACACAACACAGAGCACACCTCCCATGCAGGAATGCTTCACTACCTTGTTGACACCAGCCTTACTCTGGTCCTTTTTCACTAATAATGACCAAGCCCTTTGGCTCACAACCCACCCTTAGAATTACAGAATTCACAGAATTACAGAATATTCTGAGTTGGGAGGGACCCACAAGGATCGAGTCCAGCTCTTAAGTGAATGGCCCATATTGAACACATCACCTTGGTGATTTCCCCCCTTTTAACCTGGAAGGGAAACACCCAGGGACACCTGGAGATTTGCTGACCCACAGCAGCGTGGGAAGGTGCAAAGCCTTCACCTTCTCATGCTTCCGGAGCAGCTCGTGTCTCTGGAGGAAATATTGGTCCTTCAGCTGCTGCTTGATGAGCTGGTGCTTCTCCTGCTGCTGACGCTCTTCCAGATCCCAGATGCAAGCTTCCCGGTCTGTGGGGAGGAGAAGGAGCAGGAGATCACCTACCCTGGCCTCTCATCCTGCTCACACAAAGTGTCCCAAGCTCGAGAGACCTCTGTGCACACCAGCAGCGCAGCAGAAGTCAGGGGTGATCATTCACCTCCTGTTTTCCAGGAGAAACTGGTTGCAAACCATATTGGAACCTGATTTCTTGCCATTATGAAGCCTAATTGCTTCATATTTGGAAAGCACTCTGAAGATTAAAGCACTAAGTATTATTATTGTTAAACATTTAGACAGGACCTGGCAAGGCTGGTTTTTTTTCCACATCCCATCCTGCCAGCTTGCAACTCTGGCACAGCATCTGCTGCGTGGGCAGAGCCAGGGCTGGATAAACCCATGGTTGCAGCACTCCCTCCCCTCCCTCTCAGCCTTTGCCACCCACCTCTCATCAGCTGCTGCTTCTTGTTGAGGCACTCACGCTCCTTGTCACAGATCTCTCTTTTGTTCTGGGCTATGATGTTTTTCATGGCCTGCTCCAGGTCCTCCTTCTGCTTGGCCAAAAACTCCTGTTCCTGTTAACAAACCAGCAGTGCCACCGTGAGCCTTCCTTCTGCTGCAGCCTGGAAAGCAGCTGCTGGTGCTTCAGAACCCGCCAGTCCCACCAGTAGGAAGGATGCTTTATTCTGCTGCACGTTTACAGTCTTGGAACTGGGGGGGATCTTCCCTGAGTCTCACCATGGTTTGTTTTTTCTGGGTGAAGTCGTCCATCTTCGTCTTCAGGTTCCCTTTGCGCTGCTGCCGTGGCAGCTTCTCAACCTCGTTCTTGACCTGTGGGGAGAAGAATTAAATTTCCCTGCAGGGCACTTCAGGCCAGGAACAACCCTACCTCCAGTCACTGAGCAGCTCAGGAATCTTCAAAAAGGCCCTCAGGAATTACCCAAAACCACCTCAGGAATCACCCAGAGTCATTTCAGGAATCATCCAAAACAACGTCAGGAATCTTCAAAAGGCCCTCAGGAATCACCCAAAACCAAAACCACCACAGGAATCACCCAAAACCTAAACCACCTCAGGAATTTCCCAAAAGCATCTCAGGAATCATCCAAAAACACTTCAGGAATCTTCAAAAGGCCTTCAGGAATCACCCAAAAACACCTGAGGAACCACCCAAAATCATCTCAGGAATCACCCAAAACCACCTGAGGAATCACCCAAAAGGCACCTCAGGAATCACCCAAAAACATGAAGAATAACCTAAAAACACCTGAGGAATCACCCAAAACCACCTGAGGAATCACCCAAATCAGGAACCACCTAAAAACACCTCAAGAACCACCCAAAAGCACCTCAGGAATCACCCAAAAACACGAGGAATCACCCAAATGCACCTCAGGAATAGCCCAAAAGCACCTCAGAACCTCCCAAAACCACCTCAGGAATCACCCAAAAGGCACCTCAGGAATCACCGAAAAACACAAGGAATCACCCAAAAACACCTGAGCAATCACCGAAAACCACCTGAGGAATCACCCAAAACCACCTCAAGAACCACCCAAAATCAAGAGTTTCCTTATAAAACTCCAACCGCTTTCCTCTCAAGTTCTTCCACGAGAAATGCTGAACTTCCCAGGCAGAAAGAGGTGCAGGCAGGCATCTCCCCTCCCTCGCAGCCCCAGTTCTCACCTCCTTCTTCATCTGCCGGAGGTGCTCCAGGAAGCGGCCGTGGTCGCGCTCCTGCTCCAGGCGGATGCGCTTGGCCTCCTCGCGCCGCCGCAGGGCGTGCTCCTGCTCCATCCTCTCGATCTGCTGCTTCTGCTGCCGCTCCAGGTTCTCCAGCTCCGTGTCGAAGAACTTCTTCTTTGCCTGCCCAGGAAAAGGTTAGGGTTAGGGCTCTCGCTTCGTCGCCTTTCAAAAGTTTAAGAAGAAAAGTGAAAAGAGAGAATAAAAGCAAAAAAGGGGCAAGGGATTGTTTGTGCTTGGATTGAGACTCTTTACAGAGGAGGGAAACTTCCAACCAGCACCTCACAAAGTTTGGAGCTCTGTGCTCCAGCAGTGCCCTCGTGCCATGGGAGGAGAAGATCTTTAAGGTCCCTTCCAACCCAAACCATTCTGTGATTAGCTACAATATTGTTTTACTTCAACAGAAGGGACCAAGTGTGTGAGCCCAGTTTATTCAATTTACTCTCAAACCCTTGCCAGATTTCCTGCTGTCACACTCAGGCTGTGCTGCTTTTTTATTTAAAGGTTTGTTTTTTTTTCTTTTTTAATTACAACAGCACTATAAACTGTTTCTCACAGTGGCCATGGACAGACATAAAAGAAAAGATCATTAAAGAGGAAAATCCAGAGCAATCCTTTCCCAGCTACACCCTGCCAGGCAAAGGCTGCCAGTGTTTCCCAAGCTGCAGGCTGCTCAATGCCCACAAAACCTCCATCCATGTTTCAAATCCCAAAGGGGTTCCTGTGATGCCCAAGGTTGTTGCAACCCGGAGAACATCCCCGTGTTGGGCCCCTGCAGAGGAGTTGGGATCCCAGCTGATTCCCGGGGGTTTTCCCTGCCCTCCTACCATCATTTCCTGCTCGAAGCGCCGCAGCATCTGCTCCTGCTGCAGCTGGTGCTTGCTGTTCAGCTGGGCCTGGTTCCTGTGCTCCTCCTTCTGCAGGAGACGCAGCTCCCGCAGCTCCTGGCGCCTGCAGAGGGCCGGGGTGGGGCAGGGGGACAGAGAGAGGCAGGGTCAGGCGGGCAGAGATGGGCACAAGCACAGGCAGAGCATCCCAGCAGGGAGTGGAAGCTGCACCTCTGTCAGAGCCCAGCACATCCCTCTGGCTGCCCTGGCTGTCCCCAGACCCTGGCAGGGGGCTCAGAGACCTTGACACAAAGTCAAAAAACACCTGTGGCTTCGATTTTAGCCCGTGGAAAGCTGTCAATTTTGTATCAGGAATTACAAGCCACAAGGGTTTGAGTAGTCTGATATTTGAACTAACACAGAGTGGAAAAGTAGAATTTTGGGATTTTTAGAATAGGGTTCAAGATGGAGGAATTTGGGCGTGTCCTAACCTTCTTTTCCTCCTTCTTGTCCTCCATGTCCTGGTGATGGTGACACTTTTCCATTGGTTTAAGGCAGAGATTCACAGTCCAACATGGGTGATGGGAATTGATAATAATTTTCAAAGATATACATGTAGTTTTGAGTAAATAAGGTGGGAGCTGCCCAAGGCCCAGGGGCAGATTGCCATGGGTTCCTTTCTGGCCAGAGCTCGGCAGGTCAGAGAAAGAATGTTGTAGATATAAAGAAGAAATAAACAACCTTGAAAACACAATTGGAAGCATTCCAGCCTCCTTCTTTGGCTGCATGGGCTAAGGGAATGAGGACTCCACAATCTTGGGGTCACCCTGACCTTCTGAACCCCGAGGAAATCCCTGCTCCAGGTGCTGGGACGCTGCAGGAAGCAGGATGCCACTTTTGGGAACTGCTGGAAAACCATCAGTTCCCACAGGTGGGGCCTGTTAGCATTCACAGCTTCCCAAACAAGCCCTGGCAAGGCTCCTGAGGTGATTCTGCAGGCTCTGGTGTCCCCCAGCAACCCAAATACCTATTGTGCCAGCTGGGTTAGTGCCCACTGGTCCTCAAATGCCAAGCTGGACTGCTCTGGCCTGACCTCTGTGCTCTGTATCCATTCTTATTCACACCTGAGTAGCAAAAAGTGCAGTTTTCCCAAATTCTGACACTTCTGTGATGACATTGCATCCTTCCCCTCATCCAGCTCACCAGTAAATGAGCTCTGCTAATGAGCTTTTACATAAATCTGATATTGGGGCTGAGGAATAAAGCAGCCACAGGGACACAGTGTTTAGGACAAATTATCCTCTCAGGGAGCCCCCGGGAGCAGCACGAGGGAGCCTGGAATTGGGCATCAAATGAAACAATTTGTATTTCAATTATTTTAAGGGCCTTTTCATTTCAGTGCTAGGAACAGCAGCTCCTCTTTCTGAGAATAAGTCAGGGAGGTTTGAGAGCTGTAAGATCTGCGAAGGAGTCATCAAAGAGGGAGGATACACCCATGAATGTTAAATAATGCTCCAGGAGTTTACAACTCCCTTGGCCCTTCTGTTAATGAAGTCTGAGGAGATTCGAGAGCAAAAGGGAGAGGAACATCTTGAGAAGATTGCTGAGTTAATTTCCACTGAGCCAGGCATCTGCAGCCCTGGGGACATATTCAGTCCTTCCCAGAGGACAGAGCCAGCCACAACAAACCTCCCCTTGTCACAGTCTTGCTGCATCTTGAGGTGCATCCCTCCTTCCCCTGTCCAAGCAGGACCAAGACAGAAGACAAGAGGACTTTGGGTTGCCCCTGGATGAGCTCACAGAGAAGAAAACCCTGCCCTCCCTCCATCCCAGTGCCCCACTTGCCTGAGGAACCTCATTTCTTCATCCTTCTTCTCGTCCTCGCTGATGATCTTGGAGGTGGTGACGCTCACCTCCACCCCGTCCACCACGAACTTGCGGGTGCGTTTCAGGGTCTTCTTGTGCATCTGGGAGTCCTGGGGTGGGCAGGGAGGGAAGGAGGGGCCCGTGAAGCAGCTCCCCAGGGCTGCAACAGCTGGGCTGGAGCCCTCAGAGCAATTTCAATGCTCTGTTATTCATGAGGAGCACACAGAAGGAAACCACATGGAGCACAAACCATCAGTGAATTTGGAGATGCAGCCTGGCTACCAAACCACGGAGCAGCGGGACTTCCACCCTGAAGAAACCTGACTCACCTCCCAAAGACCCTTCCTCACCATGATCTGACATGGCTCACTCCCTGAAAAACCCAAACAACTCCTTTCCCCTTCTAAAGGGCTGACTCAGAGAGCAAATCTCTGTGTGGCATCGTATTCCTCCTGCTCAAGGATTCCAGGTGTCCTGGAAAGGAGGAGGAGGAGGAAATTCCTGTGCGAGAGCATCACATTTCCAATCATTAGGGATTGCAGGCTGCTCTGGGGGATGTTGGCTCTCCAGCTCCCAGCAGGAGGTGGGGAAGGTTTTGCCAAGAAAGGTTTTTAGGCACGTTTCTGTGCCGGGAAGTTCTCACTCATGCAGGCAATGTGACAAAGATCTTGTGCAACACATCCCTCTGCCCCCTCAAGTCACAGCATTCCTTCTCCTGGAGCTCAGCAAATAACCATTCCAGCTATTTTGCCTCTTCCTCTAAGCCCTGCTGACCTGGGCAGCTCCAGGTCAAGCATTCCCAGCCTCCAGGAAGCTTCAGCAAAAGCCAAGAAGCCTGGGAGGTCTTTGTGCAGTCCCTGCTGACACAAACCAGGCCAGGCAGCTTGGGGAAATTGAGAGGCACAAGCCCAGATGAACTTTTTCCTGGGATCAGGTGTTCTAAGGAAGAGTGATGGGCTATAAATAAAGTTTAGGAAGTCACTTTTGGGGTTTCACCCTTGAGCAAGGACAAGTCAGGGTCATGGCGTGGTTGCTTCACACAAAATAGACACAAGACATCAGATTTCCCCTAGATTTCAGTGGCCTGGCACAGAAGAGGACACATGAACCTTCACAGCAGCTCCACCAAGAGCTTCTCCTTCACTTGAGGACATGCCACATCCCCCTGGCACAGCTCAGTCCAGCTGTGCTGTCCTGAGCCCAGCTGGGACAGACAACGTGGAAAACAAACCCTGGAAAGCTTTTCCTAGGGAAAGGTTCCTCCCTCCTGCGTGTTCTCCAGCACCCTCTGGCACCACTCTCACCTTGAGGGAGATGGAGCCGCTCTCCCTGTTGAGGGACAGGTCAGCAGACAAGGAGATGGTGAGGTCCATGCTCTCGGAGGCCGAGGTGCTGCCGGAATCCGAGTCCCTTTTGGAGCGGGGGAACGGCCCCAGGGGCTCCAGGCTTCCATTGGCCAGCTTCTCCTCGCTGAAGTTCTCCAGGAAAACACTCTCTGGTCGCTCCACCATGCTCTTCCTCTCCCCGATGCTCTTCCTCTCCTCAGTGCTCTTCCTCTCCCCGATGCTCTTCCTCTCCTCAGTGCTCTTCCTTTCTCCAAGACTCTTCCTCTCTCCAAGACTCTTCCCCTCCACAATGCTCTTCCTCTCCTCAATGCTCTTCCTCTCCCCAAGGCTCTTCCTCTCCTCAAGACTCTTCCCCTCCTCAATGCTCTTCCTCTCTCCAAGGCTCTTCCTCTCCTCCCTGCCCAGCCTGGGCTCCTTGTTTCCCTCCGCTGAGTTTCCCAAATGTCCTGGCTGCAGGATGATGTCCGGGGTGGCCGAGGAGGCCGAGCTGGGTTTTGTGGAGTGGTTGCTCTCCAGCTTGTCACTGCTCATCCCTTTATCTGAGACTTGGTGGCTCTGACCCTCTGTGGTGTCCTTGCCAGTCCCCACGGAGCCGTTCACAGCTTTGGGCAAGGACGGCTCCGGAGGTTTCTCCCCATCCAAACTCAGCTGGCTCACCTCGGAGGAGTCCCGCTTGTGCTTCCCGGGGGGCTGCAAGGACAGGGAAGGACAGAGGTTGGGCTTGGCACCACCACTCAACACAACTGCAAGGGCTACAAGGCAGAGCAAAGTCATCCTCAACTAAACTGGGAGGAAATTTCCCTTTTAGGACATCTGCCCTGGAATGTTTCCATCTTTCCCCACATTTGTGGCCCCAAGAATCCTGGGTTGAAGGAAGAGGAACAGTGAGAAAGCCCCAGAACGTGCAGGTCTTTAAGAGGCAGATGAGGAATTTGCACACCAAACTGCTGTTCCCATGGTTAACCCCACTGTGGATGAGCCACTTCCCTTTGTGACAGAGGAGGGAGGTCAAGACATGTCCCCAGGCAGCTCTGAGATGTCCCCTTCAAAGAGCCAAGCCCAGGGGCAGATCTGCCCAGCTCCCTCCTCAGGCTGGTGGTGCCTCCACCTCCCGTTTCTCCAGCCTGCATCAGGGCTTATTTTCCTCTTCTTTCCCCTTTTCCTTTTGTTTGTTCACCACTTTCCATGAGCCCCTCCTGTGAGTGGGCCCTGGGCCACCCCCCAGCACCATTATTTCTCCATGCCCTTGGCAGCCTCCAAAACCCAACCCTTCCCTGGCCAAGCAACCACTTCCCCTGCACCCGATGTGACCCAGAAGAGGTTTTTGGAAGCTGAAAAGACCGCCAGGTTCTTTCCCCCAGCAGAGGCAGAGTGGTGAAGCCGCTCACCGAGGCAGACTCCGAGGAGTCATCCTCCTCGGCTTCATCCCGGCTGTCCTCGATCTCCTCCATCACCTCAGCCTTGGCCTCGGCCACCAGCTCCCGCAGGGCCCTGTTGCTGCTGACCTTGCTGACGAAGGGATGCTGAAAACCGAGCACAGGGCAAATGTCAGCTGGCCAAAGTCACCCCTTGAGAGGCCAAGGATGGCTCCTGGCTTTCCAAGAGCCAAGGGTGTGCTTCCTGCCAGTGTCACTGGGTTTTTACCCCCAGAGGAGCTCACAGGACGAAGTGGGGCTGATGTTCAGGGCACACTCTGCACACAGAGGCTCCCCAAAGCTGCTTTATGGCAGCAGCACCCCCCCCCAAAAAAAGCAGCAGCTTTAAACAAGGGGACATGTGCCCAGGAGCAGGCTGCAGGATGCCTGGGAGCAAAGAGAGCTTGGGGGAATAATGCTTTTTCTCTTCAAACTAAACCTTATACGCTCTTAGAGATAAGCATTAGAACTTTAATAACTTAGCTACTTCAAGTAGAATAAAAAAAGAAAAATTACTCTTGTAACAGTGTTAAAACCAGAAAGTCTTAATAAATAGCAAAATAAAAAAACTCTACAAAAAAAAAAACCCAAACCAAAGCAAAAGATTCTTATTCTTACTTAAACACTTCACAAAAGCAATTTACTTCTTTTGTTCTCTTCTTTTTCTGGTGAATTCCTTAAACAAAACTTTTTAACTTCTGTCCAATTAGCTATCTTTAAGCTTAAAGTCCATAAAGCCCTATGAAATGTCTTTTAAACGAATTAAAAAAAAAAACCCAAAAAACTTCTAATTTTTTTTTCCTTTTTAAGAAACAAAAAGTAACTGATTTACTCGGTCAACAAAACCCACATTCCTGCAGGGGAAGGTTGAATTGGAATGGGGCTGTTCTCACAGTGGAATCACAGTGCTCACAGTGCTGAGCTGCACTGAAGGCAGGGCTGGGCTCTGCACCAGCACACACTGAGGGAGCTGCAGCCAGGAGGGACCTGTGGGAATCCAGGGAATCCTCTGGCTGCCCTGGCAGGGGTCAGGAACCCCCTGGACAGAGCCCCAGAGACACTGGCTGTGATCTCTGGCCATGGAAAAGAGTTTTCAATCTTACAGGATGAATTACCAGCTCTGAGTGTTTGATATCAGTAATAATTAAGTGTGGCATGGGTGCAAAAGTAAAATTTTAGGATTCTAGATGAGGGGTCCAAAGGGGACAAGCTGGAGGAAATTGGGTGTGTCTTGTCCTTTTTCTCCTTCTTCATGCCCTCCATGTCTCACTGTGGTGTTGGCATTTTTCTGTTGGTTCAGGCTGGGGACACACTGTCCAACGTAGGTGACAGATATTGGCACGTTCTTGTAAATGCAGCCCAGGGAGTTTCTGGTATTTAATGTTTGTCACATCCCACTGAGGGCAGAGCCCCACACGCTGCCCTGCAGGACAGAGCTGGGCAGGGCAGCAGAACATGTGAGAGATCAACAGAATAAACAACCTGGAAACCAGCACGGATTAATTACAACTTCTTCTTTGGCAGTGGGGCTGACAGTCAGAGACTTTCTACAATCTCAAGATCATTTAAATACCAAGATTCCAACAGGAAATAGCAGCTTCCAGGTGTTTCTGTGATTTTGGGAAGGGACAGGAGGAAAGAAATTGAATTTCAATTGTGGCTAAGCAGGTACAGCCCGAGCTGTAGGAGCTGCTTCTGCTCCAGATGGTGCCCACAGGGGCTCTGCAGCTTGCTCCAAAGGGAAAAACATTGCTGCTCCTCTTTGGAGAGTTTTAATGGCTGAAAAGTGCTATGAACTTTCTAAAGATGACAGAAATAATCTGAATCCGGTGTGGTCCCTACCTCCAGCAGCTGGGCAGCACTGGGCCGGGTCTCTGGGTTCTTGTCCAGCGCCTTCTTCAGGAAATCTCTGAACTCCAGGGACCTTAAAACACAGCTGGTGGTGAGAAATTCAGCAGAGGAAAGGCCTCAAATAGCAGAGGGATCAGCTTGATCCCTCAGCAGCTTCTGTCCCAGCTTGGCCATAATCAGCATTTTGCTCCCATGGGAAAGCCTGTGGTCGGTAATTCTGATTATTTGTTCAAGAAGCAACGACAGGGCCAGGTCAGGGAGAAGTTTTGCCTTTATTTGTGCTGGCAGCAGGTGGTGGGGACTGAGCCCCAGCCCCTGAGCCCCAGGCACAGGCAGAGGCAGGGCAGGACACGGCATCTGGCCCCATGGCAGGGGCTGCTTGGGGACAAGCCTCAGAGGGAAAGGGTGGCTGTGAAGGACCAGGAACCCCATAGGAGGGCACCCTCAGCCTGCAAAGTGCAGCTCTGAGCTCCAGAGCGTGGCCCTGATGTCACTTCTGGCTTCTGGGCAGCTCCAGAGGCAGCGTTCCCAGCCTGCCTGCTGCCTGTGACAGTGGCTCTGTGACTCCAGGGCTCTGCCAGTCACTTGCTGCTGGCTGACCTGCAGCAGCTTTTATCATTTACAAATTAATAAATTAATTTAATTAATATTAAATTAATTAATATAAGTAAATTAATACAATAAATAAAGAAATAAAAATTAGCAAGCTAGTTTTCTTTAAATTAACTGGCTAGCTTTCTTTTACATGCAGAAGTGGCTTTCCAGACTTCATGGAAAGCAGCTCTGGAGCTCCTGGCCATGTCCAGCTTTAGAGAAAAATCTGTCTGTCTTGCACACAGGTTGTTTTGAGGAGAGCCAAGAGATCAGCCCTGGTTTTGGGGGGTCTGTGGGTGGGCAGCAGCTCTCCCTGTGCTGCCTGTGAGCACAGTGTGAGCATCCTGCCCCCAGCCCCCTGCACACAGCTGGGCCCGGAATACAGCTAAAACCCTACTCAAATGAAAGAAACCTGCTGGAAACAACTGTTTTTCCTCCGTGTGTGAGCTGGGAGATGCTCCCTGTGCTGCCCCCTCACCATTTGGAAGGGCAGCTGAGCGCGGGCGGGTCGGACTTGGCGATCTTCAGCAGGACCCTCATGGGGTTCAGCTCGTGGTGGGGGGGCTCAATCTGGGCCATCTCGATCAGGGTGATCCCCAGGGACCAGATGTCAGCCTTGTAGTCGTAGGGGGTGTCCTTCATGGTCTCACACATCACCACCTCCGGGGCCATCCTGCCAAGAAGGGCAGAGCAGGGCTGGGGTGGCACCAGTGCTGTCCAGTGCGAGCCTGGCAGCAGCTTTGAGACCCTACAAACAACCCCCAGAGCTGCAGAAAACACAGCTTTAACCTCCCAGTGCTGCAGAAAACACAGCTTTTCCCCCCCAGTGCTGCAGAAAACACAGCTTTTTCCCCCCAAAGCTGCAGAAAACACAGCTTTTTCCCCCAGTGCTGCAGAAAATGCAGCTTTCCCCCACAGCTTTTCCCTCCCAGAGCTGCAGAAAACACAGCTTTTACATCCCAGAGCTGCAGAAAACAGCTTTTACCTCCCAGATCTGCAGAAAACACAGCTTTTACCTCCCAGATCTGCAGAAAACACAGCTTTTCCCTCCCAGTGCTGCAGAAAACACAGCTTTTACATCCCAGAGCTGCAGAAAACACAGCTTTTACATCCCAGAGCTGCAGAAAACACAGCTTTTCCCCAAGTGCTGCATAAAACAAAGCTTTTTCCCCCCAGAGCTGCAGAAAACACAGCTTTTACATCCCAGAGCTGCAGAAATCACAACTTTTCCCCCCCAGCTCTGGGTTTCAGAAGCAGCAGCATCTTTTCCAGGGGTGCAGCCCTCTCCCTCCTCCTCAGAGCAGCCCCTGCAATCCCCCCGGCCGTTGACATCTGGCACGGACATGTCCTCAGAGCATCAATTAATCCCTGCAGTTCCGCTCCCTCGGCAGGCTGGGTGATTTAGAGGTTGTGTTTCTGGGACAGGGACTCGTTCCCACGTGCTTGGAGTGGCTTCAAAGCCCCTCTGAGCCCCGGGGTGGGGAGAGCACACTCGTGTGACCCCTCGGCAGCACACACAGCTCCCACATCGCCGAGGATGCTCACAGCTCTGCTCGGGCAAGGAAAAGCCCTGAAACGGGCAGAAAATGGCCAAGAATCTTCACTGAGATCCTCCCACCCCCGTGGTCCAACACACCCCAAAGCTTGAGAGCAAATCCTGATTTTCAGGAGCGAAGCCCTTCGTGAGCAGGGGACTCACCAGTAAGGGGTCCCAATGAAGGAATCTCGCTTCTGCAGGGTTTTCATGTTCTTGGCAGACACTCCAAAGTCAGCTGCAAAGAGCAGTAACATTAGAGGCCGGAGGAAAGCTGCAAAACCCTTCTGAGTTAGCACACTTGGCTGAGACACAGACTGGAAAGCAAACAGCACACACTGGAGGCAAGAACATAATGCCACAGGCTGTGTCCTCCGAGCTGAGCATCAGGAATTGAACTTGGTTTGGGGTGCATGACCCCCAGGATTTTCCTCTCCCATGTACTATAAAACAGGCACAGCAATCCCCTCCTGCCAAACCTTACATGTCTAGGGGGAAATGGAGCTCTTTTTTGCAAGCAAAAGCAGCTCCGTGGCAGATTTCAGGACTTATTTCCTAGCAAGAAGCTCAATTTTCGAGCAGAAAACCCAAACTGCTGTTGCATTCCTTCTCTCCCCTCCAGCCACTGCAAGATGCTTCTCCCTGAGCTGAAGTCAACCCAAATTAAGTTGGTCAGACCTGCAGAGGGTCCTGAGTTTGCTCTCCAGGACAGCCCTGGTGGCAGCTGGAGGAGCTGTCACCCATCCCCAGCCTGAGCTCGGGGTGTCCCTGCCTGGGGGTCACCCTCTGAGCACCTCCTGATGATAAATCCTCGCCCAGCAGCTCGTGGGGTGCCAATTGAGTTCCAAAGCAGAGCGGGCTGGCAAAGGAACCCTTTGGCAAGGCTCCCCCTGTCACCACCAAACCTGCTGTGCAGATAAGAGGAATTCTCCCAGCTCCCAGCCCTGCCAGCTGGCACCCTGCACAGGATGCTCAGCAGGCCAAACCGCACAGAAATGGGTCCAGAGAGGGATTAAACAAACTCAGGGAAGAAAAATCCATCGGGGGCCTGAGCGTGGCTGTGCCCTGAGGGCTCAGCACAGCATGGAGCTCTTCCCTGGAACAAAACTGTCCCCTCTGTTGGAACTCCAAATGTCCCTCAGACATTTTTGGATGTTCCAGGCCCAGGTCAGAAGCATTTGAGACCCTGGCAGGCAGCTGGAAACAGCTGTGATTTTGGGTTTGAGCCATGGAATGAGTTACCAACCTTGCAGGAAGAACAAGAAGTCACAAAAGTTTAGATATTAGAGTAGAAGTAGTTACAAAGTAGAGGGAAGAATTTTTTAGTGTTGTACAGGGGGGTTTAGCACCTGTACAGGGGGGTTTGGTTTTGAACACGGGGGTCAGAAGTTTTAAGATGGAGGAATGTAGGCTGGTCCTGTTCCTCCTCTTTCTTCTTCCTTGCCTCCATGTTCTTGGTGATGTTGGCACTCACAGATTGGTTTAGAGTAGAAAAGCACCATTTAATATAGGTAATAGGTATTGGGGAAAACTGTGACCATGTAACACGTAATGTCCCATATAAAAGATAGAAAATCCCCATTTAATATAGGTAATAGGCATTGGGGAAAACTGTAACCATGTAACACGTAATGTCCCATATAAAAGAGAGCAGCAGCCCTGGGTGGGAGAGAAGAAGCAGTCGGGGTCAGAGAGGATGTCAGGGTGTGTGTGTGCCTCTGCCTGAGCTCTGAGCAAACCACAGCAGCTCAAGGAGAAAATCTTTTAGATAACTTGCAAGAAACTACCTTGAGACCAACAACAGAGACTGCTGAGCCTTTCTTTGGAAGCTCGGGTTGGAGGAGAGACTTTTCCAGCACAGGAACCCCTGAACCAGGCCGGGGTTCCCACACCCCTCCTTGTCCTGCTGCTCCCCTCGGGCAGCAGAGGAGAATCCCTCAATCCCAACACACTCAGAGACATCCCAACCCCACAGATCCAGCCCCAGCTGTCCTTGCTGGAGCACGGGGTGGTGCCAGGGATGGACTCACCCAGCTTGATGTCCCCATCCTGGGTGAGGAGCACGTTGCCAGCCTTCAGGTCCCTGTGGATGATCTTTTTGCTGTGCAGGTAGTGGAGAGCCTCCAACATCTGGCGGCAAATCACCTGGATCTGAGGCTCAGTCAGGCCCCGGTCCAGCTCTGCAGGGAGGGACAGGGGTGTTAAACAGCACAGGGATGGAGGGATGCTCACCTGAGCTGCAGCAAGGCCCAGGTTACCCAGCAGAGCATGGCAAAGCCACTGTCCCTGTGTCAGAGCAGCAGGGGACGATGGAAATCATCTTGTAAAGGTGATTTATTCCCCAAGCCAGCACTTGCAGCAGAATTTCCACCTCTTGGAGCTGCTGGCTCATAGCTCCCTCCTGGGAATGCTCACTGGAACAGAGAGGGATGAGGAAGGGGAGCCAGAAATACTTGGGATGGGGTCTGAAAATTCCCTGCAAATTCCCTGACAGTTTGGGAAGACAAGCTGGGTGTCAGGCAGCTGCTGTGAGAGCAGGGAGCTGCACTGGGCTGCAGGACAGCAGGATCAAACACAGGCATGAACATCAGCAGCGTGATTCCCCAGGGAACAGGAGAAGCAGGGAATGATCCCAGCTGTGGGGGTGCACTGCAGCCCCCTAAACATCACCAGGGACACGGCACTTCCCAAAGGAGCACGATTTAAATGCTCAGCAGGGTTAAATGCATCTGTCCCCACTGCTCTGAGCTGGTGTTTTGGGCAGCACCAGTGCCAGGGTTCAGGGAGTGTTTGGACACTCTCGGGTACATGATGGGATTCTTGGACATGGGGTTTGGACACTCTCAATGATGGATTCTTGAAGCTGTCCTGGAGATGGATTTTGGGTGTCCCTTCAGGCTCAGGATGTTTTGTGACTCAGTGCTTCTATTCGTGGTGCTCACAGGACCTCCCTGCTGAGCTCTGCTGGGCCAGCCCCAGCAGCCCAGGGTGACAGCTCTGCAGAGCATCACCCCTGCAGCCCGCCAGCATCCCCTGAGCTGCCCTCCCTCCTCGGCCCAGCCTCTGCAGTGCAGATCCCTCCCCCAGCAGAGCAGAGCAGGGCTCAGCCAGCACCAGTGGGGCTGGTGGAGGGACCCCCAACAGCTGGGACAGATGTTTGTTCAGAGCCAGGATCTTCTCCACAGCCTGGGGGTGCTGGGTCAGCCACTTTGTCCCTCCTTTGCTCACCAGTATTGCCCCTGCTCTGGGAAAAGCTGATGGTTTTCATCCTCCATCTGGCAAAAAGAAGTTCCAGTGGGCCACAGGTTTTGTGCATAAGATTTTGAAAGGCAAATCCCAGCTGCTGGTGGGGATGGGGAGGTGGGACAGGCAGCATTCAGAATTTCTGAAATTCTGGGATTTACTAATTCTGAATTTACTAATTCTGGGAGGAGCTCCAGCTCCTCCTCACCCTCACTCAAGGGTCACAGAGCTACAGCCAGGATGTTCTCTCAAGGTTTCCTCTGCTGCCAGGGAGGAGCCATGAATGCTCAGGAGCATTTTTATGTCCCAGGAGATGGGTAAAACCCCCCTGCTGAGGTTCTCCATGGGGAAGGCATCATTCCCTCCAGCACTTCAGGAAAGGTGTTTTTTCAGGCAGCAATTTGGAGCTGCTTTAAAGAAGTCTGGTAGGCACATTGTTTTTGTCTCTCTCAGGATTTTTTCATAGAGGAGCACAGAGGAAAGACAGAGAAAACAATTTGTGTTTCTGCTCCTTGTTTTTCCCATGTGGAATGTGTTTGGAGAATTGTTTACCTGGGGTGATGCTTGGTTGGATTCTGGTGAGGATTGTTTGAGCCTGGTGGCCAATCCAACCCACCTGGGGCTGGGCTCTCAGAGAGGGTCATGAGTTGTGAATAGTTAGATATAGCAGTTAGGAAAAGTAGGTTTGTAGTTTTTGTATCTCCTTTAAATAGTATATGAATGTATTATAGCATAGTTATAATAAAGAAATCATTCAGCCTTCTGAGCTGGAGTCAGACATCAGCATTTCTTCCCACCAGTTTCCCACCTGCATTTACAATAAAGAAGTTCCCTAAAGGAGGGATGAGGTTTAAGGGTGAGTTAAAGATGATAAATTTGTTTCCTGGAAATAAAAACCAACCAAGGCCTTTGGAAGGATCAGGGGTGACCAGGAGGAGCCCCCAGGGAGATGTGGCTCTGTCCCAGGGCTCTGGGCAAGGCGATGTCAGAGTGTCACATCTGCTGTGAATTGGGGATGTCACCCCAGGGTCACCCCAGAGGGGCTGTGCCACCAGCCAGGCACTTTCGGGGTGCAGCCACCCATCCCTGCTCCCAGCAGCTCTTTTTGGGTGGGAGGGAGGAGTTGGAAAAGGGGGGATTGTTGGGATTGCTGCAAAGTGCAGTTTGACAGAGCTCTGCTGCCCCACCAAGTGACTGAGACCGTATGGAGAAGTCAGCAAAAAGATCTGGGGAAATTCACCTTGACAGGCACCCAGCTGCAACATCTCAGCCCTGCTGGGAGCTGTGGGAACGGGATCCCAGTGCCCCCAGCAGACAAATACTGAAATTCAGCTTTCCCCTGCAGCCAGACTCTCCCTTCTCCCCACAGCCTTGTGCTCTGCTGATCCCAGCAGCGATTAAATCCCAAAAGGACATTAAAGCAGCTCAGAAACTCCCGCAGGGCTGCCACACCTTCTGCTCAGGGGATGAAAACAGGCAAACTCCTGGGAGAGAAAGGGCAGCTGTGGTACCCATGCCTGCCATCTGTCTGAGGGCTGCTCCTGGTGCCAGGAGGAGCTGGAAATGCCCAGCGGGCATGGCCCCAGGCTGAACTCACCCAGCATCGTGGCATCCACGGCCCCGCCGGGGCAGAACTCGATCATGATCTGGGGGAGCAAAGGGAGAGAGTTAAAGGCAGGCCGTGTCTCACTGGGGAGAGGGAAGGAGCAGGAGGAAATCTGGGTTTGGTTCCCTGCTGGCCAAGCTGCCCCTCAGCCCCAGCCGGGCACTGCGAGGAGCCCGGAGCCCCGTGGCACCCTGTGCCATGCTCTGCCCACCTCCCTGGGACCCTCCCGTGCCTGGGACCCCCCAGCAGCCCCTACCTGGTGCCCACCCCAGCAGCAGCTTCAGGATTTCGAGCTGCCCCCGTTTCCACGCCCTGGCCTGCCTTGGGGAGCCAGCAGGATGGGATCACTGTCATAGCTGCGAGCTGACGTGGCTGAGAGACACCAGGAAGGATTTTCACTGCCAAATGAGGGATGGGGAGGGCTCTGGTGTCTTTAGGGTAGTTTTTTTTTAGCTGGTTTGATTTCCCCACATGGCTCAGTAGTTCATTGCTCTCTTATTTGGAGCGCTTTGAGGGGAAAGCCTGTCAATAAACAGGGGGAGAACATTCCCCAGATGTTGCTGTTTTCCCCCAGGGGTGTGCAGAGCCCTGCCAGCCCTACACATCTGCTTGCCATCCCTCCCAGCTGCCCCCAGCACCTCAGGGATGCTGATCCTCCCCCCTCAGCCAGCCTCAATTCCCTTCTGGGGCTGCTCGGATAAAATGATTATCATTTCAAGCAGCCAGGGATTCCAGGGGACAAGAGGTGCTTCACCTCTCCAACAAGCTCTTCTCCTTGTCGAGGTGACACGGGGCAGCATTCCAGAGTGCTGAAATGCCAGGGGTGACTCCGAGGACAGCGCCTGAGCCGTGTTTACAGCTCAGCTCTCCAAACCCACACAGAGGGAGTCACTCAAAGCAGCTCCAAGCACTGGCCCAGGAGCTGAGGGGAGAAGGTTCAAGCTCCACGGTTTAATTCTGCAGCTCCAGGAAAGCCACATCCCACCCTTGAGATCCCCTGCACGGGCAAGGGGAATGCAGTTAGCACCTGCTGGGAGGCAGCTGCTTTGTTCTGGAGAGCAGGAGCAGGGATGCAGCAAAGCTGGAATTGCTCTGTGGGGATCAGCCCAGGTCCAAGGAGTCAGAGAGGGACAAACTAAGGTGACAAACCCAGGCACCACCAGAGGAGAATAACCAGGGGCAGGGCTGGGAGAGTATTTGAAACAGGCAGGTGGGGAGAAACAACTGAGGAGAAGACAACTGAACCATTCCCACAGCAGGAGAACCACTGCCCACCTGGCACAGCTCCAGGTGGAGTCTGGCAGGAGGGATGGGGCCAGCAGAGCATCAGTGGGACATATCAACACTGTGTTGTTGTTTAATACCTTGACCCCGAGCACCAGCAGCTTCCTGAGCTCATGGAAAGGCAGGAATTGTCTCCTGCCGTGGTTACCCCCAGGCAGAGAACTGCCCTGTGCCCCCCTGTCACCCCAACCAGCTCCAGGAGCATAGTTTCAACCCGTTATTTTGGTGGTGTTCCTCATCCCATTCATCAGAGCAGACTCAAAGCAGCAGTGGCCACCAGCCCTTCCTGGGCTCCTCAGAGCAAACCTGACAAAATTCCAGTCAGGTTTGCAGCCTGGCAATGAGCAAACGAGGAGCATCAGTCCCTCTGGAGCAGCGTGACCCTGTGTGTTTATCCAGGCACAGCAGGCAGCAGCTGGGCACTGGGAACACGGGAAACTTCCAAAAATGCATTTTCAACAAAGGCAGAGATGCCGAAGAATAATTCTGGGTGTGGCCAGATGGTTTTTTGAGCAGCTAAAAAAATAACGAGCTCGTTTCAGCCCAAAAAAAAAAATCCTATTTAAACAAACACAGCTGGCAATCTCCCAGATCTTCCTCCAAGCACACTTCCTTCCAGGAGCAGGGCCAGCCTGGAGAGTTTTGCCATCGAGGCGGGCCGGGGGACACCAGCAGCTGTGTGTGAGCTGGGAGCACCCACACCTCCTGCTGCTGCTGCTGCTGCTGCTGGGGCCCTGCGGGCTCTGCAGGGAGCAGCCTGGAGCAAACATCCTGTTCCTGATGATTTCCTCTGCACGAGGAACCCAGGGACTTCCTCGCCAAGGCAGCTGGGGGGACACGGGGATCCTGCGCTGTCGGAACTCCAAATGTCCCTCAGACATTTTTGGAGGTTCCAGGCCTTGGTCAGAAGCATTTGAGACCCTGGCAGGCAGCTGCAAACAGCTGGGATTTTGGGTTTGAGCCATGGGATGAGTTACCAACTTTGGAGGTGGAACAAGCAGTCACAAAGGGTTAGATGGGATAGTAAAAGTAGTTAGAAAGTAGAGGGGAAATTTTTTTAGTATTGTACAGGGGGGTTTTAACACCTGTACAGGGGGTTTTTACTTTGTACATGGGGGTCAGAAGTTCTAAGATGGAGGAAAGTGGGCTGATCCTGTTCTTCCTCCTTCTCCTTCCTCACCTCCATGTTCTTGGTGCTGTTGGCACTCACAGATTGGTTTAGAGTAGAAAATCACCATTTAATATAGGTAATAGGTATTGGGGGAAAACTGTAACCATGTAACATATAATGTACCATATAAAAGATAGAAAATCACCATTTAATATAGGTAATAGGCATTGGGAAAAACTGTAACCATGTAACACGTAATGTCCCATATAAAAGAGAGCAGCAGCCCTGGGTGGGAGAGAAGAAGCAGTCGGGGTCAGAGAGGATGTCAGGGTGTGTGTGTGCCTCTGCCTGAGCTCTGAGCAAACCACAGCAGCCCAAGGAGAAAATCTTTTAGATAACTTGCAATAAACTGCCTTGAGACCAAACAACAGAGACTGCTGAGCCTTTCTTTGGAAGTTCAGGCTGGAGGAGAGACTTTTCCAGCACATGAGACCCCAGACCAAGCCCGGGGTTCTCACACTGCGCCACATCCAAGCTCCTACAAATCCACTCTCAGTGTTTTCGTCCCCAGTCCATTACATCCATCCCAAAATTCACTGGGAGCTCCATTTCTGAGTTATCCCAGTTCTCTCAGAGCCCCCAGCCCCAATCACAACCCAGCCAAGGAACTCGCAGCCCCCTGGGATCACTCCCAGCTCCAAGGGATGCTCTGGCTGCACAGCAACAGATTTGGGCAGCTGGGTTGAAGGAGAAAGGAACTTGCTCTCACTACCTCTGAAAACCTTTGTGACACTGTAAATAAAACATGTGCAACAAAACCAAAAAGATCTGCACGCAGACACCACAAAAAAAAAACCCTTTGCAACAGGCAACACTAAATTTAAATTAATAAGAAAAGATCTGCTCAAGTTAAAGGGCTTTGCTGGTCACCTCAACATTTCCCATGGCTCATCTTAATCCTGTGTTCACCACAGCAGGATCTGGAAGCATTTTGGGTCTGACAAACCAGGATCAGCCTCTCCTGCCCAGGTACCAAGGTGCCCCCAAGGTGGCACCGAGACCCAGCTCGGTTCTCCTACCCTGGGTAGCACAGCTTGGGCCTCCTGGGTGTGGCTAAAACAAAAAGGAAAACCACACATTAAAAAAAAAGCTTATCTCGAAAGATAACGTCACCAAACACTGCCCAGTGGCCGAGGGTGGGACAGCTGCTGGGCCCCAGCAGGGTTTGGCTCTTACTCACCCCGTTGGCACTCAGAGGGCAGTGCCCACAAACCCTTCCCTGCCAGGAAAACCTTTGCAAGCAGAAAGGGCCAGGGGGGTGGAAAATAAAAAAAAAAAAGCAAAAACCTGGGGGCAGCTGCTGCCAGGGGTGCCCCTGGGTGCCAGGCGCTGCCCACGGGCACCGGAGGCCACCGGGTCCCCTGAGGACAGAGCAGCCCTGGGCTGGCAGCAGGCACGGGAGGTGAGGGCTGCCCGCAGCTTTCCCTGGGGCTCTGCTGCTCCTGGAGGAGTCTGGGGTCTCAGAGGGGCTCCAGAGCTCCACAGGGTCATTGCTGTGCAGGGTTTTGTGCTCTGAGTATCTGTGAACACACATGGTGAAATCCTGTGCTGGGTGTGGGACTGCAGCCCTGCAGAAATTTGGGGATGTCACCAAGAGCCTTCAGGAAGTCACGGGAAGGGTTTAGAGCCCTCTGTCCATCATTTGTGGGCAGGAAGGGGGAGATGGCAGGCTTGGAGCACATGTCACATGGTGGGAGATTGCAGGAGCTGGGATTGTCCAGGCTGGCTCTGGGGACACCCCAGATTTTGGGTTTTATCTCCCTTAATAAATTAGTTTTGGTTGGGGGTCCAGTGCAGGATCAGGAGCTGGGCTTTGATGGGTCCCTTCCAGCTCGGGGTGCTCTGTGATTCTGTGACTCTGTGACAAGAACTGCAACCCCAGCTGGCACAGGGGTGCCCGTGCCCCCAGCACCCGCTGTCCCCAGAGCCACCCTGCCTGGCCCGGGAGCTGCAGGAACTCAAACCCCTCAGCCATTTCCTGCCCTGCTCTGCAGCAGCAGAGCTCGCCTTGTTCTTGTGAGCAGCTGCTGGGAGCCACAGCATCCTGCTGCCACGGCCACCCCCGGCAGCCTCGTGGCTCTGCCACGTTTCTGGGGCAGCTCTGAGGTGTCCTTGTCACCCAGAGCGGAAAGCACCCCCCACACAGGGGCTGTGCAGATCAGAAAAACAGAGTTGATAAAGGAAACCGTGCTCCACTTGCAGAGAGAGCTGGGGAAGGAAACGCTGTCAGGTTCCCTCCATGCCACCCCTCACATCTGGGCCACCTCCTCTCCATGCAGAACGTGGAGCTGGCACAAAGTCCCCCGGGGGTTTGCTGCCCCTGGCAGCTGTAATTTCCAGCTGGGTGTTTTCTAAATGGGAGCAGGGCGTGGAAAAGGAGTGTCACAGCTGGGACACCATAGGGACATTGCAGGGACACTGCAGGGACATTGCAGGGACACCCCAGGGACACCTCAGTGATCACATTTTGAGTTCCCACACACAGACAGGACACCTCACACCATTCCCTGGCCCTGCAGGAGGAGCCCCAGGTGGGAGCAGCCCCCCAGCCCAAAATGTTCCCTGGCTTTGGCACAGGCACAGCG